ATATATATATATAGTTAAACTTGGTGGCGGAAAATTGCTGCTTGAAAGCTTGGAGCTTGACACCCAGCAGAGATGACACCCAGCTGGAGAGAAACTAGCTACATCATTTCTGCCTGCAGGGATGCCAGAAGGGCCTTCTGTGAGGAAGTTTCACCATTTGGTCTCCCCCTTTGTGGGGCAGCAGGTGGTCAAGACAGGGGGCAGTAGTAAGAAGCTAAACCCTGCCAGCTTCCAGTCCCTGTGGCTCCAGGACACCCAGGTGAGTTTGTCATCTTCTGGTGGGCTTGTTCATACCTCACCGGGTGGGCTGACTCCATCAGCACATCCTGTGCCTCCTCTAGAATTTATCTCGTCACCTTTCATGCCATCACTTGAGTCCAAGACAACCATGCTAGGACTCCATGCAGCGCCGCCTCTTTCAGTCTGTTATTTTCCAGCCAGACGTGGGCATTACAATGGCCTGTGTAACTATAAAAAATATACATACACAAGCTGGAGATCCAGATTCAGGGAGTCTGGAGTGATTCTGATCACTCCAGCTGACTCTGATGTGTACTTTTTGTTGGGAACCGTGTTTAACCCCATATGGCCAGCAAGGATGTGAGGAAAGAGCATGGCCTTCTGACCTAGTTTCCAGCCTGACTGTCCTTTACTGTGAGTGTAAGTCAGAGTTCCCTCAAGGTCCGACTTATGCCTCCATCTCGACTTCGCTTCTTATCCTGCCCCCGATCTCTTCCAATCATATTGAATGTTCTGGAGCTTCTCTAACAGCCCTTCTTGCTGATGACTTTTTTTTTTTTTTCTTAATATGATTTTATTGATTTCAGAGAGAGGAAGAGAGAGATAGAAACATCAATGATGAGAGAAAGTGATTGATTGGCTGCCTCTTGCACGCCCCCAACTGGGGATGGAGCCCGCAACCTGGGCATGTGCCCTGACCAAGAATCCAACCATGATTTCCTGGATCATGGATCAATGCACAACCTCTGAATCACACCAGCTGGGCTTGCCAGTGACTTTTTACATGCTACTCCCCTGTTCCAACAAGCCTTCCTTTACCTTTTAACTCTTTCCCCATTCCTGTTGGCTCATGTTACCATGGTAATTCTTCTTCTGGATATAGCCTTGCCCTCACATCCTCTGAGAAGCCTGCCCTGCCTCCCCTGGGCTGGAGGAGAGACTTATCTGTGCTTCCATGACACCCTCTGCTTCCTCCTGTTTGACCCTCACAACTGAATTTGTCCTGCTTCTTGAGAGAGGAGACAGATAACTAGGGCAGNAATTTGTCCTCCTGAATTTCCAACTGAATTTGTCCTGCTTCTTGAGAGAGGAGACAGATAACTAGGGCAGGGGACATGCCCTCAGCAATATTGTATCCCTGGCACTTAGCTCACTGCCTGGCACTTAGGAGGCATATGGTAATTGGCTGTAGAAGAAATAAATGACCTCTGTTGCTTCTTAGCTGTGTGTTCTTATGGAAGTTACTTAATCTTAGTAATAGTTTCTGCGGTTGTAAATGGGGATAAATCACTTAGCAGTAAAAATTGTATGAAACAGACTTTATGCTTGGCACATAATAGGTGCTCAGTAAATCCTAGTTTGCTTTCTTCCACCTTGCCCTTCACACACACACCTCACAGGTTGTACAACCATTCTTGGTTAGACCTGGGAAATATCTTCTAGCTCTTCTCTTATGGCTTCTGCATGGAGATGGGGGCTCAGAGAGGGGGAACAGTTAGCCCAAGTTGACATAGCTAGCAAGAGAGAGCAGGCCATCTGACCTCAGGTTCATGCTCTTCCCACAAGAGCATTTGGATTTTGTCCAGATAGTCCTGCAAGGTTTACAGAGGCAGGATTATGTCCCCTCCTCTCTGGGTTCCCAACACTTAGCATGTGCCTGTCACAGAGCTGGCTTGCAGAGAATGCTTACCAAATGTCTGAGTGGACAGAAGATATGTGGCAAGGGAGCCTTGAGGTGGAACTGGGAGCTGGCTTTCCAGTAAGCCAGGGCAGAAGTTGGTGGTGTGGGGAGCCTGAGGGAGGTGGCCTTAGGGAACTGCCCTGCACATGGGCAGTAAGTGCTCATCAATGGGCTCCCTTCTCTGCACCTCTCTCTTCGTCGGTCTCTGCCTTCAGGAGCTGAGAATTTACTTTTGGTAGGTAAGACCTATGTCTACACAGGTGAAACTGTTAGGTCATAGTAAATGGGGGGGAAGGGAGCATATGATTAAGGCACACCTGAGAGTCTTGACATAGAAGAAGAGGTGGGACTTGAGTTGGACCTTGAAGGATAGAAGATTTAGATGGATCAAAAGGAAGGAAGGGGCATTTCAGTTTTGAGAACAGTTATAAACAGGACAGTGGAGATGGAATGAGCAAGCGGATTGAGGCAGGGAAAAGATTGGCTCTACTGTGTCCTTTTTTCTGACATGCCACTGCACTGTCCTACTTGTCAGCTTTCCAGTTTGTATCAGGAGCTGTGCTTGATTACTCATAACACACTCAGAAGAGTGGCTCATGTAAGTCAGGAGGTGTTTTCCCCTTTATATACTGGAAAGTCCAGAGGAGGCAGTCCTGGGTGGTATGGGAGCTACAGAGACCACTGGGGACCAAGCTCCTATTCTCCTCTTGCTGAAGTGTAGCCCTCGTCCTCATGATGATAACATGGCAGCTAGAATTCCCACCATTACATCTCCATTCTAGGCAGGAAGAAAGAGTAAGGAAAGGGGAAAGGGCAGAAAGGACTTGGAAGCTGGTTTGCCTGTTTTAAAGAGCTTTTCTAGAAATCAATTTGACCACTCCTGCATACATCTTACTGACTGCTCCATCTGGGAGGCATAGATTTTTAGTTGGATGTGTTGAGATCTCTGTAAAGCAGTAGATTCGTTAGTAGGGAAGAGGAGACAGGCAGTCAGCATTCTCTCTACACCTGGTCCAGAATCATCTTTTCTTTCATTTTATACTCTCATTTTGCAGAGTACACATTGTAGGAGCTGCCTGAGAAAGGGCGCATCGGAGATAAATACTGAGGCCTCATGGCTGTCTGTTTCCATCCTAGTTTCTGTGGGTGAATAAAAGGAGATCTATGGAAAGTAACCTCACAGGGTAATCTGATCATAAATTCCTAACTGGGCAGGTCATGGTGGGTAGTCATGCCCCAGGCATATAACTTTTTTTATTATTACTTTTTATTTAACAGTTTATTGTCGCATCATTCTGGAGACTATAAGTTTGAGAACAAGATGAGGTTAGGGTTGGTTCTTCTGAGGCTTCTCCCCTTGTCTTGTAGATGGCTGTCTCCTCCCTTTGTCCTCACATAGTCATCTCTCTGTGTGTCACATACAACTTTTTAGTTAAAGGTTTATATTTGCCCTAAGCAAGCCCTGTTCATTGTGTTTGTGCATCTAGGTTAACACACTTTTGAAAGCTCATAATCTTATTAATTTTCCTTCAATGCAATCCCCCCTGCTTTTTCCTACCTCCATGTAATCTTTCTTACATCCCATCCTTAACTTCAGATGCATAGAAGAAGCTACAAGACCGTTGTTCCCAGGATCATTTGAGAACATATGCTCCCCGGCATATGTCGTCAGTTTGGCTCAAGTTCTCACAAAAATTCTATACGGTTTTGGACATTTCTTACATCGACATTGGGGGTGCTGGGTAGGGGGTGGGAGGGAGATCTAGGGATCTTAGACTTTTAACCAATCCTTCAATTTTAAAAAACTATATAACAGTTTTATTTAGATAAAATTCACATAACATACAATTCATCCATTTAAAGTGTGCAATTTAGTGACTTTTAGCATCTTCACCACAATCAATTTTAGAATATTTTTATCATCCAAAAAAGAAACCTGGTGTCCATTAGCAGTCACTCTGCATTTCACCACAGCCCTTCATCCCCAGCCCTAAGAAACCACTAATTTATTTTGTCTCTATTGCTTTGCCTTTGTTGGACATTTTACATACATGGAATCAAGCACATTGTATATGTGTTTTCTGTGACTGGCTTCTTTCACTGAGCATAATGTTTTCAATATTTATCCATGTTTTACCATGTGCCAGAATTTCCTTTCTTTTAAATGCTGAGCTCCTAGAGGGAAGGAGCAGAGACTTGCTCGTCTGTGTGCTCCTCAGAGCCTGGCACACTGCCTGCTACGCTGTATAAACTCAGTTAACTCTCAGTTATTTGAAGTAACTGTAGTGTCACAGGAATTGTGACCTGGCTGGTGTGGCTAGGTTGGGCATCATCCTGTACACCGAACGGTTGCCAGTTCAGTTCCTGGTCAGGGCACATGCCCGGGTTGTGGCTTGATCCCTGGTAGGGGGTGTGCAGGAAGCAGCCGATCAGTGTTTCACTCTCACATCGATGTTTCTCTCTCTTCATCTTCCTTCCTCCCTCTCCCTCTAAAAAAAAATAAAAATAAAAAATAAGTAAATAAGAGGGACAGTAGAAATTGCCATAGTTGGAGAGTATACAAGGATATCCTGGCTGAAGCATTTTTGACTTGGTAAATGTTTTGACCCTGAAGGGCATTTGACAGATATTTTCACCAGCATTATGTCAACACTGGTGAATTTGCATTGAGAAAGTATTTTCTGGAACAAATTCTCTTGTGCCCACTTAATTTCTTGCTCAGTTTTTTTATGTAGCTCAGTTAAACTTTTTTTTTTTTTTTTTTTTAATATACCTTTATTGATTTCAGAGAAATGAAGGGAGAGGGAGAGAGAGAGATAGAAACATCAATGATGAGAGAGTTGTTATTGATCAGTTGCCTCCTGCATGCACCCGACTGGGGATCGAGCCCGCAACCCCGGCATGTGCCCTGACCGGGAATCAAACCTCAATCTCCTGGATCCTAGGTCGATGCTCAGCCGCTGAGCCACTCCCAGCTGGGCCCACTCTTTATGTGTGGGAATAAGTAGCTGTGTTCAGATTTACAGATAAGTTATTCTGGAAGGTAAAGAATGCCTTCTTTTGGGGAGAGGATTTCAAAAAACTCCTACAGTTGTAATGCAGAACAGGCTCATCCTGAAATCTGGCCCTATACATATTACATACGAGGGCTGCAATATGAAAATAGAAAGCAAAGCGGCTGAAATGTTCTTTGGCACACATTTCCTGTTCTGCTTTTCTTTTACTAAAATTGTTTTCACTGGGATGAGGTGAACTCTTCTTTATTCATTGTATAGTGATGGTTTGGTTCACTGATCAGTTTTTATGTCAATATTCAGTTTTTATTGATTATAGTTTTTATTTTGAGTTCTTTTGTGGCCATTACTTCTATCAAATCCAATTTTAGGGTGTAGTGAGTGGTGCTGAATTTTACAATGTGTTGTCTAGCTGCTGTCAGTCTGTGAGTGGTGGACGTGCTGATTATTTCTAAAACAAGTAATAATCTCTGAATACAAGGATGACAATTTGTATTCATTTCTTAGCTAATCCATGAAAAAATTTGGAGCATTTCCCCTCAGGTATTCTAGGGTGGCCCTTCTGTCTAGAATGGATCTATTTCATTGCCAATCTGATTCCTGCTTGATTCTGATCACTTTGAACATGCTCTAAATGCCCACACCCTTGGAGCAAAGAGCGAAAGTCAAGTTCAAAAGATTCATCCTGGGAAAGCCTCATGGAAGAGGCAAGAATGGAGAAATTTGCTTTGGATAAAGGTCTCATACACCTCTTCTGGTCTTTCCCCTTCTGGGTCTATGAGCCTCTTTTAGCCTGCTTGCACTGCTATAACAGAATATTTCAGACTGAGTGGCTTATAAATACAGAAACTTATTTCTCAGGTCTGGAGGCTGGAAATTCAAGATCAAGGTGCTGGCAGATTTAGCTTCCTGGCTCAGAGATGGTCATCTCCCTGTGATCTCACATGGTGGAAGGGACAAGGGAACTCTCTGGGGTCTCCTTTATAAGGGCACTAATCCTATTCATAAGGGCTCCACCCTCATGACCTAATCACCTTCCAGAGGCACACCTCCACATGCCATCCCATTGCAGGTTATGTTTTGAACATAAGAATTTTGGGGGCACACAAACATGTCTATAAGCAAAAGCTTAGATCATGTTCATTTTTTTCTAGGTCCATGGAAAGAAATTATTCCTTAGATTTGATCCAGATGAAGAAACCAGGTCTCCTGGCAACAACCCACTGCCAGAACCTCTACGAAAAGGAGAGAGCAAGGAAGAGGCTGGAGACCAAAAGCAGACCTTGGGTCCTGACAGCCAGAACATCTCAGAGCAGTACTCCCAGCCCCTGGAGCGTGTCCACAGTGGAGACATTGGTTCTGAGTATTTGAGGGGAGACGACCCTGCAGGAGGTGCTGAGAGGTGGCTGCAGGTCAGCTTTGGTTTGTTTGGCAGCATTTGGGTGAATGAATTCTCCAGAGCAAAGAAAGCAAACAAGAGGGGCGACTGGAGGGACCCCATTCCAAGGTAATGGCATGGTGAAGTGAGCCATGGGCTGTGTCTCTGCAGGGTCTGCAGTGTTCAACACGGCTCCCATGATGTGGCACACTTTCTGGGCGCACTCAGGTGGCTGTCCAACCTGCTCTCCGGCAGTGTGCTTCCTAGGAGAGAGAAGACACTTCTGTCTACCTGTCATAGAAAGTAGACTGTGGTCTGCACCCAGAGAGGAATGATCAAATCCTGGGTCAGCTTAGCAAAGGGAAAGAACTTACCCAACAAACATGGTCCTGGTGGGTGGAGGTCTCTGAAGAACATTGGATGGCTTGATGAGTGCACTCTAAATTTAGGGACAGAATTGTCCCAGTTTTTAATCTATTAATGTTGAGACTACCTTAGTGTGTAAAACTCTATGTTCAGGGTTATTTCCTTACTGTACATACCCAGAGGAGTCATTGCTGGTCCAAGAGAATGAGCATTCTTCTGGTTGAACGTTCTTATGGCCTTGGAAAAGTGCTCACTTTGCTGAATTCTTACTGGCATTGGATTGCTTGTGTACTTTTTATCCCTTTGTAGGAGCTTTTGGATAGTGTGTGTGTGTGTGTGTGTGTGTGTGTGTGTGCGTGTGCGCTAGCCTTTGTGATGTGTGGTGCCAGTATTGTTTCCTGTCTGTGTCCTTTGACAGTATAGTCAGTGGTCAGTATTTTTTTAAATAATTTTTTATTTTTCAAGTACAGTTGACATAGAATATTGTATTAGTTTCTGTTGTGCAACATAGTGATGAGACATTTATAAGTCCAGCACTGGATGGGGTCAGTATTTTTCTTGATAGCTCTTAAGTTAACCCCTTTTGCTAAAGAAGGCCTCTTCTACCCAAAAGTCAAACTATTTTTCTATTTCCTAAAGTCTCATATTTTTTTATGCTCAGAACTGCAATCTTTATTTATGGTATGATGTAAGGGCCAGTAGGATCTTTGGACTAAAAATAATTCCGGCTGGCTTAAATTGGAAGGAGATTTTTTTGGTTCACAGAATTGGAAGTTCAGAGGGAGGGTGGGCTTTGGCGTTGACTCAGTTCCCAGCTTTTGGCTTCAGGTTCTTGTGATTCTCCTGTCTTTGCACTTTCCCACATGTTGGTTTATCCCAGCTGTGAGAGCTCTGCAGTTCCAGGCCTTATGTCCACACAAAGTAAGAGGAAAGAGGAAGAGAGAGGGTCATTTCTAAACATTCAGTTGACAAGGAGAGCTTTCTAAGAAACCATCAGCAAACCTCTCATTGCCTGAAGCCAGCTCCTGGGCTGATTTCTGAAATAGCCTCCAGCCTAGGGGAATTTCAATGCTCTTCCACTAGCAAAGTTCACCCCTAGGTTTTCAAATTTGTCACGGAGTTAACACGTATTATTCTCTTGCTTTTAAAATATTGTCAAGTTATGTCTCCCTTCTCATTTTTCATGTTTTATATATTACTTTGTCTCCCCACTGCTATTTTTCTTAATTAGGCTTGCCAGAGTTTTATGTACATTGTTGGTCTTTCAAATAAATAATATTAGTTTTATTTACACTATATGTAAGAGTATTTCCTAATTGTCTACATGATTCAGTGTTTGAAGTCATGGTTTTGTTGTAATTTTTATTGGATTATGCTCAGTATTATGACCAAAGCTTCTACATTTTCTCCTTTTGGCATTGAGATTTGCAGCTGAACACATAACTGACCTTTGCTTATACTTTATGTACATAAATGAAGAGCATATGCGCATTGAAAGTAAAACATTCTGTAAATGTTAAGAACAGGTTATGGCTTTGATAACTTCTCTCTGTCCTTCTTATTTTTTGTTTACTTAGTATGCAAAATTGGGAAGAGGAGTGTTCATGTCCCGCAGGGTAGTCATGGTTTTATAAAGTTTCTCCTTGTCTTTCTAAGCATTTTTGTTTGTGTGTTTTGCTGCCTTGGGGTCCTCAGCATCGGGGTCCCTGACTCTCATAGGTTCTTTACAGCTTCATTATAAATAACATACCCTTTCTTTGCCTTTGGTCTTGAATTCTGCTTTTCTTGATGTTAATAATGCCACTCTGTTAATAGTGCCAATCCTTGGTCTTTTCTCACTTAGTTGTAGGTATGTTTTTTGAAATGGGATAACTGTAGTATTTGGATTTTCTTTCATTTGCCATTTTATTATACCTTAATTCCTTTTCATTTGTTGGATTTATCATTTCTTTTCTACTTATTTGCCCTGTTAATTTGGAAGTATTGCTATTTATCGTCACTCTGTTGATACTAATTTTATCTTTAAATTTTACCTATATTTTTTTCTGAGTTAATAACCATCAAATTAAAAAAATTTTCTTATTTTTATTTTTTAAATTGATCTTTATTGTTGAAAGTGTTACAGATATCCCCTTTTTCCCCCCATTGATCCCCTGCACCCCGCATCTGCCCCCCCAGGCCTCCACCACACTATTGTCTATGTCCCTGGGTTATGTATATATGCATATGAGTTCTTTGATTAATCTTTCCCTACCCACTCCCCCACCCCCACCTTCCCACTGAGATTCATCGGTCTGATCCATGCTTCAGTGTCTCTGAATCTTTTTTTCCTCAGTCTGTTTTGTTTATTAGATTCCACATTTGAGTGAGATCATGTAAAACTGAATCAGGAAGAATCAGAAAACATGAATAGGCTAATAACAACTGATGAAATCAAAGCAGCAATAAAAAACCTCCCAGCAAACAAAAGCCCTGGTCTGGACGGCTTCGCAGGGGAGCTGTATAATTCTTTAAGTTGTAGGTTTAGATAGTTTACTAAACATTTTTCTTGCTTTTTGAGGTAGGCCTGTAGTGCTATGAATGTTGCTCTTAGGACTGCTTTTGCTGTATCCCATGGATTTTGGGTTGTTGTGTGTTCATTTTCATTTGTTTCCAGGAAGTTTTTGATTTCTTTCTTGAGCTTATTGGTAACCCATTCAATGTTTAATAACATGCTATTTAGCCTCCATGTGTTTGAATGTTTTTGAGTGTTTTTACTGTAGTTGATTTCTAATTTCATGCCCTTGTAGTCTGAGATGCTTGATTGTTATCAGTCTCTTAATGAGCCTCAGGCTGTAGAAACTCTATGGGTAGGGTGAAAGGTTTTCCAGCAGGGTGGGGCAGTTGCTTCCCCCTCAGGCAAAAGCTGCTTGGAATGTAAATGTCTGCCTCTGCAGTATGGGGGAATAACTCAGCACATGAATCCAGAGGGGTGTCCTCTGAGCTCTATCTCCAGAGCCCACAACCCTAGATTTTCCTCACATAGCTCCAGTCCATTCTGCTCTCCCTCTGCTGGAGCCCAAGGTAAGTAGCTGCACATGAAACTTTGTGTTGGCCCTTTTAAGAGGGTGCCTGCATTTCCAGCTGTCTCCCTGGCAGACAAACCCTGTTGCTTTTCACAGCCAGATGTTGTGTGGGCACCTTTCTCAGTTCTGGTGCTCTGGGCTGGGAAGCCCAGGCTGGGATTTAGGCCCCAGAGTCCCCAGTGGGAACCCCCCACAGCTGAGATATCCCTCCTGACCTTCCCCTGCTGCCTGTGGGAGCCCAGCTAGCCTTCCCACGCCTACGTGTTTCTTACCAGTCTCTATGCGGTCTCCACTTTTCCTCCTTGGTTAGGAGGGTGCTCTCCAGCTCATCTTTAGTTACAGTTGATTATTCAGGATGGTTTTTCTATATTTTAATTGTAATTCCAGTTTGGTCCCAGGAGAGTGTCAGTGTAGCTTCCACTCAGTCCACCGCCATCTTTCTAAAAAAATTTTTTTAAATTTATTTTTCAATTACATTTGACAATTAACCGTCAAATTTTTAAAATAGCATTAAATTAATAACTCTTCTCCCTTATTATTGAAACTGGTTTTTTGGTCAGTCTCCTTCATCCCTTTGAGGTGAGACCTTTAACATATTTCTGTTTCACTACTTTTCTGTCACATCTACCCCATCTCTTGCATTTGCTGAGATAGTTTAGAATTTTAGTTTCAGATTGTTAATTAACTATATTATGTGGTTAATAATATATGAATGAACTAATTTAGAACCTGTTCCACCCAGTGGCTGCTCCCGTTCCTGCCACATCTCTCTCCCCACCCTCCCTTCCCACCAGATCCCCGAGTTCTCCCTCCTTAATCACTGCTGCTACCTGGCTCATTGAGCCAAGAATGCATCCTGTCTTGTTCTTTCTGCAGGGCATGCATTTGAAAGACATATTGCCTGTCTTGATTCCTAGGAGCAGGCTAGTGTTAAGACCCTCAGGCAGCAACATGGCAAGACCGTGGTGGGCCAAATCACTGTGGACACGATGTATGGTGGCATGAGAGGCATGAAGGATGCAAAACATCAGTTCTTGATCCTGATGAGGGCCTCCTTTTCTGAGACTGCAGTATCCCTGAATGCCAGAAACTGCTGCCCAAAGCTAAGGGAACAATCCCTGTCGCAGGGCCTATTTTGGCTGTTGGTGACTGGGCCAATCCCAGCAGAGGAATAGGTATCATGGCTCTCAAAAGAGTGGGCAAAGAGGGCAGCTCTGTGTTCCCATGTCATCACCATGCTGGACAACACTCCCACCAATCTACACCCCATGTCTCAGCTCAGTGCAGCCGTTGCAGCACTTAACAGTGAAAGTAACTGCCCAAGCATATACAGAGGGTATCAGTAGAACCAAGTCCTGGGAGTTGATTTATGAAGACTGGGTAGCTCTGATTGCAAAGCTACCTTGTGTTGCCACAGAGACGTATTGGAATCTACCCGGAGGGCAGCAGTACTGGGGCTGTTGACTCTAAGCAGGCCTGGCCCCACATCCCACAGTTTCACCAACATATTAGGCTCAGTTTACTGAGCTCATGCGCTTTTACCTCACCATCCACAGTGACCATGAAGGTGGCAGTGTAAGTGCCCACACCAGCCACTTGGTGGGCAGTGCTCTTTTAGACCCTTACCTGTCCTTTGCAGCAGCCGTGAAAGGCCTAGCACAGCCCCTACGCAGACTAGCAAATCAGGAAGTGCTTGTTTGGCTGACACAACTACAGGAGGAAGTTGGCAAAGATATCAAATGAGAAGTTACCAAACTACATCTGGAACACAACTCAGGATGGGGTTGTCCTAGGTTATGGCCGTGCAGTACTAAGGAAGACTGATCCACTATATACGTGTCAGTGAGTTTGCTCTGAAACACCTGCATCGTGACCACATGTTTAAGCTGGTTGCTCAGCTGTACAAGATTGTGCCCAGTGTCCTCTTAGAGCAAGTCAAGGTTAAGAACCCTTGGCCCAGTGTAGATGCTTGCAGTGGGTGCTGACATGACAGAGGTGAATTATTACACAGTCCTGTTTGGGGTGTCACGAGCATTGGGTGTGCTGGCACAGCTCATGTGGAGCCGAGCCTAAGGCTTCCCTCTAGAGACACCCAAGTCCATAAGCGCGGATGATCTGATGAAGTTTCTGGACTCTTAAGTTGGCAAAACTGGAGACTGGAGGGAAACTAACTACCAGAAGTGAGGGAGCTCTAAAAAATGTATAGTTTTGTTTCAGGGAGCTTTTAAAGACTTAAGATTAAATTGTATCTGAGGCACTGATAATAAGTTTAAATTAAGAGTTAAAAAGGTGAAAAGTGACCCCTTTTCCCCTAACCAGCTCCTTTCCTGTGCCCGGTATGAGTTGCCCATCAACTGTAGGATGACCAGGACAACGCATGTGGTGTGGGTTAGATCTGCACCCCCCATCTCTAGAGTGAGAATCTGGCTCCTCTTTCCTTGGGCCAAAGCTGATTGAAGAGAATCTGCAGTCACTCCTGAGCTTTCGGTTCTACTTTGCCCAGCCCTCAATAGGCCAGGAAACCAGGAGTGTGCCCCTTCTGTTTCCATAGGAAACCTGTTGGATTATCAGCTCTACCAAGCCCTGTTGCCCTCTCCCACGTGCACAGGCACTTCCTCATTAGCTGGACATGCTTTGGGCATTTTTTTCTTTTAAATATATCTTTATCGATTTCAGAGAGGGGAAGGAAGGGAGAGGGGGAGAGAGAGAGAAGCATCAATGATGAGAGAGTCATTGGTCGGCTGCCTCCTGCATACCCCCGACTGGGGATCGAGCCCGCAACCCCGGCATGTGCCCTGACCGGGAATCAAACCATGACCTCCTGGATCCTAGGTTGATACTCAACTGCTGAGCCATGCCTGGCAGGCAACTTTGGGCATTTTTTTATGCTTCCAGGTGACCATAAAGGCCATGGCATTCATTGTTACTGGCACCTAGTGTTTGATTTTTACTTCTTTTAAAATTATTCCGTAAAAATTAAGATTTGGGAGTGTTCTGGTCCCCACTACTTTAATCCCTCCTTTGAGATTTTCTTTGTGTGCTGTGCCTCAAGCTGAGCATGCTCTGGACCTTCCCTTCTTGGTCCCTACTAGAGACCTTTCAGCAGGTTGTAGAAACCACTGTCTGACAGGGTCTTTCCCAGTCATTTGGCTTTATCAGTGCTTAACATGAACTAGGCTTTTTAGCCATCTCCCTCTGACCTTTTCCGCCCTTTACTTTAGTATGCTGTGGGCCATGGAATAGGGACTTGGGAATGACCATCATGATATCTTCATGGTCTGGTCCCAGGGGTACTAGCAGGGAAATTATTTAGCTTTGAAATGGTCTCCTTTGAATATCAGGTCCTAGGGCTGAGGGTATTAAAAATAGTAAGCCTCCCATCTCATCCCCTGCCAAGAAAATACCACTTTATTTATCAAGGTCCTTATCCTGCCCTTTCCCTAAGAGCTCACATTATAGTGTTTGTTTTAGAAGCGCCTTCTGCACAGGTTTTCAGCGACTCAGAACGCTCTACTGCCTTTTCTTTCAGAAAGGATTGAAATGTACTGCCGCGCCCCCTTCCTCCCTCACAACTGCCTGTGTTTGTGTGGATCCCTAATCCCCAGCACCACACTGTTCAGATGGACACACTGACTATAAACACCTGGGTAACTTGTCAGGTCATGATGCAGATTTCAAGTTATTCTGTATAAAATGCAAAAGAAATGTTTTTATTAACAAAACACAACAAAACTAATATTAAAAACATTGATATATAGGTATCTTTTGTTTCAAAACTGCTTTCCTAACACTTGTGTGCAACTTCAGTTGCACTATCATAATCCATTTTAGGTCTCACAATAAATATAGCAAAACCTAACACTGCACATTATGTCCAAACCTTTCCATCTCTCCCTGTTTTGAGATCTTTGCTGATTTAATCTATCACATCAGATACTATACATAGATGTTTTTCGAGTTCCTGTTCCTCTGACGTCACCCTTTTACTTTCACAGAAGAATATCACCTAGGTCAGATGCGTGAATTGCATATGGAGTCCAATTCCAGCCCGACTGTCTTCCCTTACAGAGTAACCCAGTATTTCTTTATCAAAGTTCATAAGATTTCTCCTCTGTCCTTGGGGTTGAGGAAACCCATGGGGGTATATTTGGGTATGTCTTTCTCAGTAAATCTTGCCTGAAACTGGGAGTGGTCCCTCTTTAGCTTCTGTCTTCCTTTCTAAGTCCTGTTTTTGTGCAGGTAGCCACAGCTCCTGAGCTTTAGACTTTTCTGTACCTCCCAAGTTGTCTTCAGTAAACATGTGTTTTTATGATCAGAAAAATTAATATATATATATATATTTTTTTCTTTTTCTTTTAATTACTCCATTTAGCCCTGAAATTTTTATGATTCTAGCAGAGCCATCCCTTTTCTCTTTTGGGACCTTAGCTTCCCCATATTAATCCTGACAGTGGGTGGCAGCTGTATGGACATGTGACCTGACCACATTGCGGTCACTCTATATGCTTATGATCTTTTCTTTCTTTCCAGGTTGGTCCTGCATTTTGGTGGTGGCGGCTTCCTGGCATTTTATAATTGTCAGATGTCTTGGAGCTCTTCCCCAGTGGTCAAACCCACCTCTGACATCTTGTCTGAAAAGTTCCATCGAGGACAAGCCTTGGAAGCTCTGGGCCAGGAGCAGCCTGTCTGCTATACACTGTTGGACCAAAGATACTTTTCAGGCTTAGGTATGACTCATGGGTAAGGGTTGAGCCCCACAGAGTTATTTAATAGAAAAGTCACTCATCTGGGAAGCACAAAACTGAGACCCACCTCAGGTGTGAGTACTGCTAGTCTTGAGGTGATCACTTACTCTCTTTGGCTTCACTTCCTTCATTTTCAAACTGAGGCAGTTAGATGAGGCAGTTTCTAACTTCTTTGCTAGCTTCAGAATTGATGTCCTAATTCTGTCATCAGTGGTAGCCTGCCCGACAGCTACATTAGCGTGTGACCTAAAGGGTAGGGTCTTGTCTCCTCTGTCCTCGAATCCTCCACTGCCTAGCTCTGTGCCTGGGACACAGGAGGTGCTTGGTGGGTATCTGTTAGGAACCCAAAGCCATGTAATTTGCTAATGGAGAGCAGTGCATTTGCTGATGGGGGCTGCTCTCCAGCAGATGGAGATGCCTGCTGGTCAAAGCAGAGATGTCTCAGGTCTGCATTAGGATCTTATAAGACATAAGTGAAGAAGCAGGTTCCTACTCTCTGTTCAGGTTTCCTAAGCAATGAAACTGAGCATTTTGAGGGAGAGGGAAGAGTTGAACAGTCTAAAAACTAGGATGGCTAGTTAGCTGGGCTATTCGAAAATTGGGGAGCTAATTAGGTGGATTATTTCCCCCAGTGAGGTACCTGTGATTGGCTGCTGAGGCAATAGGGTGAGCTGGTGATGACAGAGTCACCTCCCACCCAAGGCATCATTTTTTCTGCTGCAGGTACAGCCCACCTCATGAGGGGGGACCAGACAGTTGCCTTGCATTTTTATGTTAGGACCATGAGTATCCCTGTACCTTGAGGAGCAAAGGGTCTTCCAGAAGTGGCTTTTAGGGTATATATATATATAATAAGAGCCAATGCTCTACTAACAAATCATTATTATGAACAATAGTAATACTAGCCAACATTTTTCAAGTGACTTTAACATGCCAGGCACATGGCTTCATCCTTATTGCTATTCTGTAGGATAGTTATTTACTAGTGTTCCCTTCGTTCATATGAAGAAATTAAAGCTAGTAAGCTGGTATAGTTGAGACAGGAATCCAGGTAGTCTGCCAGTGACTTTTAGAGGGAAATTTTGTGTGTAGCCATGAGTGTGATTATGAAGCTCTTAGAAAAGGCAGTGATTTTATTCATCCATGTACTCCACACGTGCTGAATACTTGCCTTCTGCCAAGCCCAAACTTTGCAGCTTAAGGATATTATTGTTCACCAGCTCAGAAAGCATAGACTTAGTTCACTGTAACTTGAGACTGAAATAAATGCCTAGTAGAGATTAAAGAAAGTGGTTTGTTGGAACATTATGAATAGGATTATTGACTCTGGGAGGAGGGATCAAGGCTGGCTTCACAGGGAATGAGTCAGGAGTAGAAAAATAATAAAATAATACCTCCTAAACACTTTTTGTATTTTAGGCATTATGCTTGACATTTTAAACAATAACAGCTAATAGAATACGTACCAGTCACTGTGCTTAGCATTTGTGTTTGTGTGAATTCTCACTTTACTGCTCACAAAAACTAGGTAACATTCCCATTTTACAGATAAGGAAACTGAAGCCTAAAGAAGCTGAGAAATTTGCCAGGGTCACACAGCTAGAATCTGGATGAGCTGGGATTAAATCCAGGTAGTCAGGTTTCCAGAGCCTGTTTTGATAACCACTTTGCTATACCGTGGGCCGTGCATGAATTTTATCTCTTTTCATCTCCACAAAAACCTTAAAAGTGACTATTACCAAATCCATTTAATAGACAGGGAAATCGACTCGGGGATTCTGAGACTTCCAAGGCAGAGCTGGCTCTCCGTCTTCCTCGGCCTCTCCCCTGCTGCCATCACACCAGCTTCAGTTTGCTTTATTAACTTTGTGGACTGGTTTCATTATAGAAGACACTGTCCTTTATTCTTCCCTTGACTTCTCCTGCTTTCTTTCAGGGAACATCATTAAGAATGAAGCCTTGTACAGAGCTGGGATCCATCCCCTTTCTCTTGGTTCACTCCTCAGTCCTCAGCAACTGGAGATCCTCGTGGATCACGTGGTGGAGTTCAGTACAGACTGGCTTCAGGGCAAGTTCCAGGGCAGACAGAATCACACACAGATCTACCAGAAAGAGCAGTGCCCTGCTGGGCACCAGGTCATGAAGGAGGCCTTTGGGCCTCCAGGTGGCTTCCAGAGGCTCACCTGGTGGTGCCCACAGTGCCAACCCAGGCTGCCACCCGACGAACCAGAGCAAGTCCAGCCTTCCTGAGGCCCTGTCTTCACAGAACCTTGTCCTTCAAGGGAGCGTGATGCCTGAGAGTCAAGAAGGGGTGTGGGCAGGGACTGGGACTAGAGGCAGGAATTAGAGAGGAGGGTGGGTCAGGAGGATATCAGTCGTGTTGTTATTCATCTCACTGAAGTATGTCTAAGGCAGAGTTTTCACAGGGTTAGATTATTTTTTTTCAAGTATTGGTTAATTCTTCCTATCCAACTCTGACATTATGAAAGGTGAGAAAAGTTATGATGACGGTTAAAGGAAAAGCCTCCTGGAATGACAGTGGGATAATGAAAATATAAGTCTATGGAAAATAGCTGTGCCCCAGCATTGCTCTGTTTGGTTTTGTTTGGTTTTTGAAACTTCGGTTGGTTTTAACGCCCTCCATTTGAGAAACAGGAACAGGAACTGTCTGTCTTCGTTCCCCTGGAGGGATCCGGGGATGAGGAAGGAGTAGCATGAGGCCTGTGCTCAGATTCAGCCTCCTGCCTGGGTCCTTTCTGAGGGATGGAAACACAAGGAGAAGGGGCAGGGGGAGGTGGGGGACCAGGGAGCTGGCCACCTTTCTGGTGTCCCCAATGGGCTGTAGAAAAAAGCTACTTGTTTTCTCCTAAGGTGATATATTTGTGACCGTTGTTGTGTGGAACCAGTAGGTATCAAGAACTGTGGAGACACTATGTAAAGGTGTTAGCAACAGCTGGAAGAAACTAGGATATGAAAATAAAGCTCTCTGATATTTTTTGTCATCTTTATTTTGCAGGAATGGTTCTTAAAATGTAAATAACTGGGTTCTTTGTGAAAATGGCTGCATAGGACTTGTTGAGGTGGCCTGATGGAGCCACTTAAAAGGAGTAGGGCAGGGAGTAGGGGAAGGTGGAGGAAGGTTTAGGGGTGATGCATGATGATGGAAGAAGACTTGACTTGGGGTGGTGAACACACAATACAGTGTACAGATGATGTGTTGTGGAATTGTGCACCTGAAACGTATATAATTTTGTTAACCAGTGTCACCCAAGAAATTTAGTAAAAGGGGGGGGAAGCAGGGCAGGGACTGGGGATGGGGGTACCCCTCCCTGCTCTTCTGCCCCTCAGGCTACTGCAGTGGCAAGAGATCTGGCAAAGCAGAGATGAGATTCATTTCTACTGCCCCAGACTCTGGCATGTAGAAGATAGTAATTTCACTCTGGCATGAGTGAAATTAAAAACAGTGGCTGATATTTCTGGCTTTCCTTTTCTCTCACCTGTCTTAGGAATTAAGAGTTGACAACAGTGAGGAAAGCCACTTTATGGCAGACCTATAACCTGTATAATAGTTCATATATACATGCTTAGCATATGAAGCACTTAGCCTAGTTCTTATGTAATCTGCAAACCCAAAAGATCCACGAAGATAGGTATTCATTCTTACTGTTTAATTTATAGATGAGGAAACAGAAGTCTAGATAGGCTGGGAACTTGCTTGAGGTCACACTGTTAAAAAGGGCCAAGGGTGCACACTTATTACCCACACACTGTAGATCACTCTCTCTCCGGCTTGGACAGCTGGGTCACAGGTGTTGACTGTCAAGTCCTGGCTGACACTACGGGTGTACATCCCACAGAGTAGCCACTAGTTGAGTTGTATGAGTTGTTGGCACCATCAGAACTACACAAGCTGGGTTCTGCATGGAAGAAATGGGGAAGCAGAAACATTAACCAGCAGAAACCCCATCTACCATGCCTCTCAAGATGTAATTCATCATGGCAGGAGGCTCTCAGCAGAAAATGCCAAGTTTGTTCTGAAAGGAGGAAGGGAAGGGGGGTGGGTAAGTGGACTGAATGAGAGAAAAGAGGTAATGGTGGTACAGAAACAGCAGGCATGGGAAAACAGTGGGAGTTACTCCTCTTGTTCATGTGCCTGGTGGATATGCTTTTTCTTGGCAGAACTGTAGATGAGGGATTGAGAGAGGATGAGTCCAGGTTTCACTTAGAAGTGAGGGGAGAGGTGCTATTTGTACTCAGCACTTTCCAAGGGAATGATTTACTTACGAGATTAAGTCTCCAGATAATTGACACTGTGAAAAGCTTGGAATTTAATGTTAGGTTTCAGTGGCCTTAGCTATTCAATAAGTATTTCTTAAATGCCTCCTAAATGCCAAGTTTGGGAATACAAGGATAAGGAAGACAAGAAAACCCCTACACTAATAGGTGCGCGTGTTACAAAGTGTGAAGAGGGTTTTGGTAGGTTATGAAATAAGTGCTGTGTGAAGGTAGGGAGGGCAAGCGAAAGTTCCAGCACAGTCCTGACTTCAAGCAGTTACTCAGCAAAAGGTAGTGGAGACTTGCTGCTGTCAGGCACTGTGCCAGATGTTACGTTTAGACCTGGTCTCTGACCTTGAGGGGTTCATGGTGAGGTGAAGAATCAGACAGATAATTAGAATACATAAAGCTTAGGATGAGAATAACTACTGGGCGTGATCGAAGCGCTGGGGTTTGTGGAAATAAAGATCACCTCAATCAGAACAAACAAATGATGCTCTTTAATCAGCTTGCTATATAGCAAGGGCATCAGCCACCATTACTTGCATTTGGCACAACTCAGAGGCAGGCAGGGAAGTGGGAAAACTTTAGAGCGAAAAAAAGGGAAAGTCATCAGGTGTGCTTGGATTGCAGAAGTCCGTGTGGGGAAGCTGGGAGCAGGCTAACTAGTAGTCTTGTGTGATTGGTTTGGGGAGCATATTTGGCTTTCTGTGGTTGGTCCTGTGTTGGAAGTGGGGGCAAAAAATAGAGAAGTCCTTGATCAAATCCTGACCATTCCAGGCCAGTTGCTGCAGAGGTTGTGGGTTAGAGTGCTGTTACTGTCAGGGGTCTGATTGTTGTCCATTTGTACATGCAGTCTTCAGTTGGACATGTAGGTGAGACTGCATGAGCTAGATTAGGCTCCAACTATGTCTCATTGTCTTCCTCTGGACTGGAAGCTCTTTGGGGTAGAATGTCACCTCCGTCGTCTTTATTTACAATGTCCCATTGTCAGTGTTGAGTGGATGTTTGTTCAACCTAAAGAAGAGATCAAGGAGAGGCCAGTGAGCTTCAGAAAAGGATTCCTGAAGCAGAGGATTCCACCTGAGCTATAATGAAGGCATGGCAGTAACCAACACTTGAAATGGTGAAGAGAAAGGATGGACAATCCAAGCTGATGAATTACTTTGGCCAAGACCAGGGGCATAAAGTACTGTTTCCTCTGGGAAATGGAAATGCTGCCAGGGCTGGATCAGGGTTTGAAAGTAGTGAAGTGACTAGATAGGAAACTAAAACCCAAAAAAGGGCACGCAGCCCTAGTCAGTTTGCTCAGTGGGTAGAGCACTGGCCCTTGGACTGAAGGGTCTCAGGTTCAATTCTGGTCAAGGGCACGTACCTTGGTTGCAGGCTCCATCCCTGGCCCAGTCGGTGTGTGCGGGAGGCAACTAATCGATCTCTCTCTTCCACGCTCTCTGAAAAGCAATGGAAAAAATATCCTTGGGTGAGCATTAAAAACAACAAAAAGGGGCATATAGGTGCCGAATGAGGAGGGAGTTTATTCTATTCCAGAATCCTTGATTTTATCTTAAAAGACATTTTCTTTGAGGAACTTAAAATTGAAGGGTTGTTGGCAAGAGAGTAACATAATCAAGTGTATGTTTTAGATAAATTACTCTAGGTGCCACATGGGGACAGGTGGAGGGAGATGGGAAGTCCTCAAAATAATTTGGGAGAGCTCTTGCTGGGTTTGCTCAGTAGTTAGGGTGGTGGCCTGTGGACTGAAGGGTCCGGGGTTCGATTCCAGCCAAGGGCACGTACCTCGGTTGCAGGCTCAATCCCCAGCCCGTTGGGATGTGTGCAGGAGGCAACCAATTGATGTGTCTCTCTCACATTGATGTTTTTCTCTTTCCTTTTCTCGCTTCCACTCTCTCTGAAAAGCAATGGAGAAAATATCGAGTGAGGATTAAAAAAAAATGTTTGTGAAAAAAGATGGGGCTTACACCAAAATGGGGCAGAGAGGAGAGATTAAGACAAGAGATGTTTGTTTCTTGGAGTCCATAGGATTTGATGAATAATTTCAAAGATGTGGAGGGAGAGAAAGGAGTTAGGGATGATGTCTGGATTGTGTAATTGACAACTGGGAGGCTGTTAGTGCCATTCACAGGAGAAGTAGATTCAGTGGGACAGAGGTTTCAGTTATGGACATGTTAAGTTTGCAGAGTTTGGGGGACATCAAAGAGGAGGTGTCCTAGACACAGCTCGATTCAGCAAGTCTTCATTGTGCACCTAATACTTGCCAGGCATGATTCTAGATGCTTGGGGGTGAGCTAATAAGCAAAACAAAGGTGTGTCATCATTGAGCTTACATTCTAGCAAGGGAAAATAGCCAGTAAACATAATTAAATTAGAATGTGATAAATATTATGGGAAAATAGTAGAGTAGGATGGAGGATCAGCAGTAATGGTTATAGGATGATCAGGGTGGGCCTGGATGAGAAGGTGAGATTTCAGCAAAGACTTGAAAGAGGTGAAGGAATTAGCCAATTGAACATCAGGGGGGAGGGGGAAATATTGCAGGGAGAGTGGAGTGGAGTTACACAAAGGCCTCCAAGGGCGAAGAGAAGTAGAGAAGTAAAAGTTGGATACCAAAGGTAATAGGGGTGGAGGGCTAATCATGCAAACCTGTAGAGAATTTTTGAGTTTATTTGAGCCAAACTGCTGACATTTGCTGGGAAACAAAATCTCAGTGGATTGAGATTATGCTCCAGAGAATGGCAGTTTTGCACCTTATTTTATACATTGCAGTCAAAAAAGAAAACGTAGTAGGTTACATGAAATCCACTGGTGATAGATTAGGGAGGTGGGGGAAAGTAAAGTGAGGAATCCTCTGGGATTGGATAAAAAATAAAATGATAGACATACATATCTTTTACATAGGTGGGTGCAGGATAGTTAACAGTCAACAATAACAATGAGGGGGGTTTGTGGTCTTTGCTCTGTTGATACCTGTGTGTTGAGGGGTCTGGAAAAGGGAAATTACTTTCACATTCCTAAGGTATGTTATCATGGATGCAAAAAGGCAATAGGCTTAATTAAGGTGAAAATTGACCTTCATTGGGAAAGATTCTAGCCTGGGACACGACTACCCACCATGAACTGCTTTAAGTTAAAAATTTTTAATTTCAGACCATCCTATAAGGCAGCCAGGCAGGCTTTCCCTGAGCTAGTCAGGTTTGGTATGTGGCCCCCTTTCGTCCACAGGTTTTAGGCAGTGATCTGATCTGACAAAGTTTAAAAGGATCCTGGTTGTTGTGTTCAGAAAATTGGAGGGTAGGGGGGCTGCCCTAGCAAGTGGTTTCAGGGGGTGTGAGACACCTAGGATGGAGATACAGATTTGCACATCCCCGTTGTACAGGCCTTGGGAACGCTTCAAAAAATTTGCAAGAGAGTAGCTGAAATTCTAGAGGAGTGACTGGCATCACCCAGAGAGAAGTGAAAGCGCCTTGCGGGTTGTGAAGCCGGACAAACGGGAGTTCTACCGCTGGGCTGCATGCGGTGTGGGAGGCAGATGAAAGGTACTGGGCGAGGTTTTGTGTCGCAGGTGAGTTGGCCAAGCTTTTGCCTTGTTTGTGTGTTGTTGGCAATAAAGACCCGACAACTTGGTGGTGGGCCCGCCGGCCTTTTAAATGTTGGGCAGTCGGGCGCGACCGCGACCGCAACGCGTCAGGGAAGAGCCAATCTGGCCAGCAGGACATACAAAACGAAACACGTGGAGGCCTTACTGACAGACGGTGGCGGACTCCTGCCCGCTCCGCGCGTCTCCGCTGAGCTCTGGCCAAACGCCCCGGCGGGGGTGAACCTCTGCACTCGCGCCCGGAGCCGAGCGGAGGCTGGAGGCGGAAAACAAAGGCCGGCCCCCAGTAGGAGCACCAATCCCGCTCGCCTGCCTCTTTCTCAACCTTCAATCAGCTTCTGAGGCGTACTTATCGCGCCAGGCTGGTCCTGCCGCCGATTGGCCGGCGTCTTCCTGGTGCGAACGGCCCTGGCCAAATCAGCGCTTGTCAGCCCACCTCGCGCCCACAGGAAGCGCCTCGAGAGCGGTAGGCCCGTTTTGAAGAGCGAGGGTAGTGGGCGTGGCGTCGCCGCGCTGGGCCCGCCTGCCTTGTCTCCGGGCCGCTGCCCGCCCGGCCTAATCCTTGACCCTGGTGCGGCCGGGAGGTATAAGCGAGGTGATCACCGAGGCCTGGCATCCAGCGGTCAGCATGGAGTTCGTGAAGTGCTTGGGGCACCCAGAGGAGTTTTACAACCTGCTGCGCTTCCGGATGGGGGGCCGGCGAAAGGTGATACCCAAGATGGACCAGGTTGGTTGAGCATCCCTGCCGGGCCGAGAAGCCGCGCGAGGCGCCCGCCCTTCGGTCCTGGCATGGCCGACCCAAAATGGGGGCCGAGGGGGCTGGGCGAGCCGGCGCCAGACTCCTCGAGCGGGGGCCAGACGCCTCAGGCTCCCTCCTTCCCTTCAGGAGCAGACCCGCCCCCCGCCCCGTCAGGTGGTCCCACTCCCTCTGCCAGGTTCACTCACGCGCCCAGGGGGCTTGGTCGCCTCCCGCAGGCCTCCTTCCACCCACCTTTTCCTCAGGATGTTTTGTTGCTAAAAATGTTTCTGCTCGGTCAAGACATTGGTTTTCAGGTAGTTTTGCTTCACATTGATGTTTATCTGTGTTCTAATCCTTGGTTTACAAAACAGGTCGTAGGGTAGTTTCAGTGGGAGAGGCCCTTGGATAGGAATGTCTGAACAAAATGAACCGTGTCGATATTGTCATTACCTTTCTAGAATGAAGCCTGACTCATCGTTCCTGTTTTCTTTTACTCCATTCCCTGCAGAAGCTTCCCTCGCTTTACTGCATTCCGATCAATCCCTTCTTCCTCAGTGCTTCCCAGGTTTTTGTGATTTTTAAAAAATATATATCTTTATTGATTTCAGAGAAAGGAAGGAAGAGGGAGAGAGAAATAGAAACATCAATGATGAGAAAGTCATTGATCAGCTGCTCCTGCACGCCCCGCACGGGGATCGAGCCCGCAAACCTGGGGATGTGCCCTGACCGGGAATCTAATGGCGATCGCCTGGATCAAAGGCCAGTGCTCAACCCCTGAGCCACGCCAGCCGGGCCCTAGGTTTTTTTATAACTATTATTTACTCCTCCAGCTTCTTAGTAGTTATCTGTATGTCTGTTTATTAACTACATTGTTGGCTTCTTGAAGCCTAGACCTGGTTTTTATTTACATTTCATCTGCCTCATTCCTGTACCCTTTGTTAAATGAATTGCTTACAAAGTTATTTATTCCAACAGGAAAATTATTCTCAAGTGATTATTGAATGAATAGACACCTTCAGTTGAATTAGTGGGTTGTATCAAAAGTTTTAAATTGTTTTCTCTAATGGCAGTATCACAATGAAATACTGTTCTTTGTTTAAATGTACCCTTAATTGGTGTCCTTCATTAAAACACTTTAATTTTCCATCAGAAAAAAATTTTTCCGTTTGTCTCATAACAGAATCCTCATCTTTCAAGGTCTAGCTTCAGTGAATGCCACCTCTATTGACCATTCAGCAGTCATTTATTAAACACCTGTTCTGTGCTAGGGCATTATGGAGAGTATAGCATGGCAGGCTCACTACCTTGTCAGGTCAATACAATGTTATTGTTCATAGAAAACTTAGGAAGGCACCATCACGAGATGCCTTTTCATGTCACCTGTGAACCTCCCTTAACCATTTTCTCTGGCACTATTTTACCTGATATCAGTCCCGCAGTCTTGTATTGTGGTTATTTGTGTATTGGCTTTATGTTCCCCAAATCCCTTTCAGATGTAAGATTCTGGATTTTAAGCAGTTTGAAAACAGGAATCTTATTCAATGTACCTTTAGTGAATTAATGAACAAAAGGTAGGTACACTGCCCTCAAGAAACATCTAGCTTTTTAAACAAGATAAACATAAGTAAGTGTGGCAGATAATGGTAAATGCCATAAGGAAATTCAACAGAAGTGAAAAATCACTTTTGACTGGGATAGGGGATTAATCTTCTGAGGAATGCCTAAAAGAAATACAGCTTTAAATTACTCCTGTGCCTTACTCAATAGATATTTGTTTAATTTGAGATTTTAACTAAGAGTTCTTACTTGGAGCTTTTCTGAAATTATTTGCAAATATTTATGTTATTGTAAATTTGTGTGTTTGGCGGGGAGGAGAATGGTGTCCACTATTGTCAGATTCTCCCAGGGATCTGTGACATAAAACAGATAAATAGTCACTGCTTTACAATCCAGGTTGTACCGTGTCCTGAACACCTCCTGTGACAAGTAATTCACTGCCTCTGGAGACCGCCCACTCCATCTCCAGACAGTCCTGGTTTTTAGGCAGTGTTAACTTAAAGTGAA